GCTCCTGCATGCATCTCCTGGGCCCCGTGGCAGCCACCGCGGTCTGTCACAGCCCTCGTACCTGGCGTGGTCTGGGTGCGTGTACGGGGCGGTTCGCACACAGTCGCCGACATAGCTCACGGGGAACGGGAGCAGGAGGTGCGTCTTCACCGGGCACGGCTTGAACGTGGGGTCCTGGGGAGGGAGATGCGGTGCGTCACGTTCTCGAGAGCAGGACACCGAGCAGCACGTCACTCCACACGCTGAACGCAGGTGTCCAGTCCCCACCGGGGCTTCGCGTGTCAGCATCGTGCGGTGCAGATGCGCCGTCCCACCCCAGCTGTGGCAGTCACGGAGCGACAAGGAACCTCGTTGTCCCCTTTCCTCCAGCAACGAGAGACGCCGCCTGCGACGGGCCACACCGAATGCCCCAACCGGCCACGTGAGCGGAGGAGACTGCCCAGTGGAGGTGGCAACACCAACTCAGCCACATTAAGTGGAGGCAGAGGGACCGAAGTCCTCATGGCACCAGCACGAGAGCCAGACCTCCGCTGTACTGGCGCCTGTCTGGCCACCCACAGGCACGGACTAGCTGGGGACGGCTTGCTCTGAAGTGACGGGGACTGTGTGAACTTACCGTGATCAGCTTTCTGATGATGTGGGAGCCGCTAAGGCACGCACTGTCCCCAGGACCATTAGGCACAGGTTTCTGAAAATGAAGCATTTCCAGGAGCAATGACACAACCGCCAGTGCTGGGGACGGCCCGCCGCGGACGAGGGTGTGCTCAGGCCTGGGCTCCGCTCATGGGTTTCCAGACGATCGCAGACCTGCAGCCTGCCCCTCCCACGCGGTCGCCCAGCACAGACGTGGCTCTGCAGGCAGGGGGGTGGTCCATGGGGACAAAGGCACACGGCTGTGACAGAGGAGATGGCAGCGTTGGCCTGTCCATGAGCAGCACGGCTCTGCGCCCGCTACGCGCTGGTGCGACCCAGAGCCACGTCTGAGCCATTGCTCACGGACAGCATTGCTGACAGCACTGAGCCCGGTGCTGCCAAGTCGCCGTCCTGTCACAGGGGCGCGTCCCAGGCCCGTGTCCTTCCCCATTAGGTGACCGCAGGCTTTGGGCGCCAGTGACAACGGGCACAGGCCAAAAGCAGGCCTGCAGGTGTGAGCGCCGCCCACGGGCTGGCACCTGGCTGCACCGAACCCTCCTGCACTGGTCTGGCGGGCAGTGGGGACCCCAGCGCCCGCACACAGCGCAGCCCAGGACCCCACGGCCCTCACCTCCACCACGTGCGGGTGCGCCGGCTTCCTCTCCGTCGTCCTCTGCTCCAGGCCTGCCAGGAAGTCCCCCACCACCTGCTGCACCTGCGACAGCTGCCCGGGGGCCGCATTCACCGCGCACCTGTTCGGAGAGCCGCACACGCACAAACCCATCAGCCGTGAACGGCTCAGCGACTCGCCACAGCTGCCTAAGGCGCAGAGCCAGAAAGCGTAACGTGCTGCCTTTGAATAAAGCAATGCTTGAAGACGTTAATGAGAAATGGCAGCAAAACGTGAAAGTAACAGCCGATGCCCGGCACAGAGCTTCGAGTGTCAGAGAGCCGGTCACATCGCCCAGCGGGCGTGCCAGCTGGCAATGGCCGTCCACACGCAGGTGGCGTTTGCGTTAAATTCTGTGGTGAAGATGCAATGAGACTGTCTGCCGATGACGCCCAGACTGACTCGCTGGGAGACTTACGCGTCACTCCCTGTCCAGGAGGAACAGCCGCAGCGTGGAGATGTGACACGGCCATCTCAGTGATCGGAAGCTGAGCTGCCACCGAAAGCCCACACACGGCACGGCCCGTGTGACTGCAGCCTGCGCGGGGCCAGAGCGCCACCACAGGATGGCCCCCTCCTCTGCCCGACTCCGAGTTCACTTCAGGTGAGCTGACAGCGGCACCGTGAAGCCGCGCCACATGCCCAGCAGTGCTTCATGGAGGACAGCGAGGGTCCCCTAGTTGCACCCCGAGGCGCCGCATGTGCAGTGGGTGCTGGTGGGAGCCCGCGGGCGGCTCTGCCTGGCCCGACCTCGGGGCGCCCCTCCTTTCACCATATGTCTGGGGCACCTGCCGGTGGTCCCCAAGGATGGCCGGGAGGTGTGGATTCCCCACATATGCCGCATTACGGTGGCGGGGGTGGGGGGTGCTGAAACACACCAACTGTCACCTTTGAACTCCACGCAGCTGCCTGCCCGTGCCTCCAGGTGGGCCTGGTCACAGAGCGCCACGGTTCACTGCTGGGCGCAGCCACGGGGCATGCGGTGAACCCACCTCGCAGGCTGCGGGCTGAGCCGGCAGGTGACCTCCCCGCCTCCCCCCACGCTGATGGAACCCGGGACGCTTGGTTCCCACGTGACGGGAC